CAAAATATGCCCTATTTATTTCAATAACAAATTCAATAAGTGATAATATAAGGGCATTTATTATTTTGAAAAAAAATATTTACTTTATTTATATTTCAAATTTCAACTAAATCGGTTAAAAAACAACGAAGTTATAACACATTAGATTAACACAAATTAAATTTAAAAGAAAGACCATCACAAAAACTACATTGTACGAAAATTTCGTATCAATATTTCTACTGGTTCCGAAAATATCGAATTTTGTTCGGCTAATATCTGTTTTATCACACTGTGCGGTGTAGATTGCAATTGGTTGATTCGAAAGAGTCAGTAAATATTGATGAGTTAATATTTACAACTCATAAGATTTAAAATGAAAAAATTTCTAGAATACACATTTTTTTTAACTTTTTTATAATATTCAGAAATCAAGCTAAAAGTCAAACTAAACTAAAGTATAGTCCTACACCGTTAGTATGTTCTTTTTCTTCTGTTTTTTGATAGTTGCGTACTTTTTAAAGATTGCTTTTATTAAATTTTTAGACCAGAACTTAGTGGGATTTTGCATTTAAAACCTATGTGTCGTAGTCGCCTTAGATATGTATTGTGTTATAATATATATAATTTATACCACAATTATCATAATAATTCTCTGTCGTTATTTCAATGTTATTGAGCAAATATCAACTGTAATATTTAAATAAATATATGTTCTTAGAATTGAAACAACTATATAATTGCACTGAAGTATAACATATTTTAATAATATATTTTACAACTTTTTGCTTTAAAAATAACAGAAATACACTAAGAAAAGTGCTGTTTATGAACAACTTATCTTATCGGCTATGTGTCAATTCCACTTATCGGCTATACAACTGTCGCAGAACTGCAATGTATGAATATGACTTCGTTAATATACCAGCAAAACTAGGCAAAGATAGTGTCATAAAGCCCCCCGCAGAGAAAATAAATGGTTTCTGAGCATTAATCAGAAATATTTGTAATGACTTCTTGAAACGTTGATCATATTTATACCAAATACAGCTATAACCAGTTGTTGATAGTGTTTTACTCTAAAATATATAATATATAAATATCTAAATAAATGATAAAGAAACGAGTTAAAGAAATAAACATATACCTGTTCGAAGACATCATTTCCACACCAGCAATAAATAAAAAGCTCACAAAAAATACAACAGCAGTAAAAATAAATAAGTACAGTTCCATTAGTGGTATCGTTACGAACAGTGGCCTGAAATCCAGTCAAGGCGAAAATAATTACAGATGTGAAAAATTGTATTAAAACCGGCATACGAAAAATATCCTCGATTTGATTACGTAAGCTGCACAATAAGGAAAAAGTCACTTTGTTATATATCAATTATATGTGAATGAATGTATATATATATATATATATATTAAATTTATTGTGCACTTATATATTGCTTTGGATCAAACAAAAATTAGTCTGCATTCTTTAATCAAAATATAAAATATTTTTTCTAGATTTCAAAAACTGTTTTTTAATATAACCAATTTTATGCGATCACCATCCTTCATTTGTTGGTTAAGATTACATTTCCTATTCTAAAATTCCGATGATCTATTTTGTAAAGACTGCTACAGATGCTTTCTACAATCCTCTTTTAAAATCAATTTGGCATCGAAAAAGGTGATGCAATGTCAAAATTATAATATTCAAGCGTTAAGTCAAAGTCTATTAATTAGTGATGAGAGAGAGACTGAAAACTATATTAATTATTATTAAATATTATTAATTATTATTTACACTTTTAATAAAGAAACCCAACATATTTTAAATTAATTCCCTGGCATTAATAGATGAAACCAGCTTTAATAGATGAAACCATTAAAATCTCACGACACATTATTACCATATGCGGAGAAGATATGTAGCAAGACTTTACATATCTTCTATCTTTTTGTAGCATGACTATACAACATTATTATCTATTATCCACTTTTTATCAGCATCTGTCATATGTATTGAGTATCTCAATTTCTTTCAAAAATAATTTATGGGTAGAAATTTATATGGAATCACAAAGCACTTGAATATCTAACTCATTTTTGTAACCAACTTTATGCAAATTGTTTGAACTTTAAAAATTATGGTTCAAACCCAAGTTCTCTTCTAAATCATAATTGCTCTCATGCCGGTGCAACTTTTTTTGGTAAATTTTTGTCTTTTATTGGACAATTTTTCAGTTCCCAATTTTCAAAAGGAAATCAAGTGAATTATATTCTAGTCTAGTTTTTTTTCCATAAAAATAACATATAATTAAACACAATTATATTGTATTCATTCTTTTATAAATTTTAAAATATATAAAAGATTTTCCAATAGTTTACTCATGTATTAACAAATTTTAACACAAATTGCCAATATCTATAAATATTTGCCAATAACTAAATAACTTGTTATTTGTCAAAAGAAAGTATTAATCCAATTAAACGTTACAAATTTATTAAAATTCAAACAAAGAAGAAGGAATTATTTTTTTACACAACCCAGTATATAGACAGATTTAATATATTAGAGTTATAATTTAAGTAAATACCCTGTATTGAGGTAGTTTCTGTACTTACTCTAGTAAACACCAATGATGTTCAATAATTAAATTTATGCGTTCATTCACAAATGGTTTCTTTTGAGATCCTAATAATTGTTTACGATCATTCATAGACAACTCACTAAATGACAGATTAAGAAACCTCAATTGAAAACGTATTTGATGATAAGTATTAATTGAGTAGATTCTATCTACTATTGCTTGCAAGCCATAAACACTGACTCCCATATAAATTAACTGTAGTTCCGGCTTGAGGCTTGCTGGTAATTTTACACGATAAGGAAACTGTCCAATCGCATTTATAGGATCTAAAAATATTAAATATTATAAAATATTAAAAACATTATTATTTTTTATAATTTAAATATTTTTATTAATTATTCTATTTATAATGTATTTATTACAAAATATTAGAGTTAGTTGCTTACCATAGAATAACATTATCATTCCCAGAAATCCAGTGAAAGAAACCAACGTTGCATATATAGCAAAAGGTAGTTTATTCTCAAACTCGCCGCGGTAAAAAGCCTTTCTCTAAAATATAATCAAAACACCAATAATAATTATATTAGCATAATATACGATATTAATAATATTTATAAATCCTATTGCAAAATCATAAAATATAGAGTAGTTCTATTTACTTTTATTTAAGCAATAAATTCAAACTAACTTGATGTACATTCAACTACAAAGTAAAAATATATGGTTAATATTAGGAAATACTCCACTAGTCGGATATTTATTGAATAATCATATAAAAGTAATCATTGCGATTTTAAAACTTTTTTTCAAAATTATGCTTTTGGATTCTTCAACGATTTTTAGATTTTCAAATTTTCGTACCACCTACTCATCCAGCACAGCAAAACAGTGGATTATGCAAGGTATAGTCAACACTATTAAGTGGCGTAGACATTCTGGAGACCAATAATTTTAATTTTTAAGTTAATATTGCTTTAGGGTCTCTTTTTGTTTTGTTTCTTATAAAACTTACTACTTTAGTAATGGACACACTTTCACCATCTTGTACCTTATAGTAATAGTAATAGTTTAATCAGAATTACTGGTCATTTTAGAAGCTATACACGTATTATTTTGATTTCCTTCAAATTTTTTTAAAACTAACATTTAATGTTTATATTACAAAATATGAATATTTTAGTTTTTACATATTAAGTAAAATCTTTTCATTCTGCTTTAATTTTAGATCTAAGGTAGCAACTCTTAGAATTTTTTTACAACACTCTTCCAGTCTTCACATCTTCTCACAACTGTTTTCAAATCATACATATTGAGTCATTTCAAATGAGTTCTCATCCCTACAGGTCAGAGGATAACACCACATCATTCTTTTTCCATCCGGATTTTCAAATCAAAACTTACCTTTCTGATTGGGGTGTTTCTAATACCATGAGACTCAATCTGATGTCTTAAATTTTATGGATATGCATCTTTATTCATTGCATGTTATCATAGAGTCAAATAATACTTCGTTCTTAGATGTTCAATACGCAGTCATGTAATAAGATAAATCAGCATTGGATTGTAGTTATTACCATATTTCAAAAGTATGGTTTTTAATAGTAAGTTTCTACCTTAATCTGCATATCAAATGCTCGTTGTATTACTGGAATATTTTTATTTTTTTCCTCATTGATGTAACATCCACTTTTTGGGGTTTCAGTCTCAAAAGCGCATTTTGCTTTTTGATCATGAATTTTTCTATTAGTTCAATGTTGTCGGCGAGCTCAGTAATGATGTATGAAATATTGTAAAAAGAAAGAGCTTTATTTAAGAGATAATCAGCTGGTCGATTTTATACTAAACAAATCATTTGTCAATATTTGTTGACGAAAACAGTTGTTTTTCTTTGTAAAAAGCCAGAAAGTTTTAAAATCGATCTTTATATAAATATACCTATTAATATTTAGTTTCCCTTTCGATTTTTTATCTATATCAACTTCAACTTTTTTTTGATCCATTTTATACTTTTTACTGAATTATATATTATTTTAGTAGGTTGTTAACAGAAAAATTTTTCTTATTTAGATAATTGTTCATTATGATTATTACTCTTATTATTATGTTTATATATTATATTATGTATTACCTGTTCGGTAGTTACAACATATTTCATCGTTGCCAACTTAAACTTCTCTATCACATTGCGAATGTCTGAAAAGCGATAAAAAGAATTCAAGATCTGCAAAGAAAAACTTACATAAATAAAAAGGTTATTTTAGTATTTAAAGATACTAGAAATTATCAAATAAATTAGTTAAACTACTTAGAAAACTTGTTATACAAATTGTTATACTTTACAAAACTTGATTTTCTTAAAAGTTAAGTTTGGATCTATCGATTCCATAGACAAAAGTTGCTTCATACCAAAATTTTACTAATAATTTTAGTAATCATATTAAATTTTTTTTATGTTTTTCTTTTTAATCACCTTCGTGAGGAAGATATAAGTTCGTCAAGTGAAATGTTGAAAGGTGGATCGCATTTCTTACAAAATGCGAAGACGGAATGTCTTTTTGAGCTTACAAAATAACTGTACAGAACAGTGGCGGAGCTAGACCAACTCTGGACGTCGGCGACAAATGAATTGCGAGGCCCCCTTTATAATCCAGTTGTAAAAGTAAATGAGTTACATTCACTTATATGACAAAGAATGATTGAAAGTTTTATTGCTAATCAAATTAAAATTAAAACACAAATTAAAATAAATGAATTTTCCTACTCTTAGCTTCACTCAATTTATCATAATTTGCGCCAGCTGCTATTTTCGCTTCAGTTTATAGAATATCGAATGGAGATAGTCTCTCTTGGATCGTCATACTTTTCTAGTACGTCTTAATCAATTTTAAATTAGAGAATCTTCTTTCCGTCGAAGCTATACTGACTGGAACTGTGAACATGAATCTGGTTACTATATAAACATTCAGAAATATTTCGAATATGGTAAATGCCATTATCAAACCAAATTTTTCAAAATATTTATTAAGTGCTTAGAATCCACAGTTGCTAACTTTTTGCGAGGCCCCTGTGGGCGCCGACATCGCTGACGCCTAGCGACGCCACTGCTACAGAATAAATTCTTTAGAAATGTGCCAAGTAAATATACTAACGATATTACAAAAAAATTTAACAAATAACATATCTAAGGAATATTTCACTTTTGAAAATATCTACTTAGCATCATTTAAGATGCGAATTATAAAAAGTAAAGTTTATATTGTATTGCTTTTCTAAAGCATACATTTGAGATCATATACTCATTCCATATTTTTCAAAATGAGAATATGATTCCTTTTCTTTCTTCTATTTGAACATTTTTGAACCCGCGCAAATAGTTGAAAAGACGAGTTGACCAAAGATACCTTCAACGCCAGACTCAAGTAAATTTATGATCGCTATCCAGTCCATGACGTTTTAATTGTGTTCTGTCATTTAAACACAAAAATCGGAAGACAAGAAATTTTAACCCAATGGTCGAAAAATTCAGCCTCTATGAATCCACCTCTAAAAATAATCTGTGATTGCTTGATTTCGCCGCAACGCAAAACATGATCATATGTAGCACCTTACCCTGATATTTATAAGAAAACGTGGCTCTCTCCCGATCCATCAACGTGAAATGAGATTGATTATTTAATGATTGACGCAAGAAACGCCTTAGGTGTACTGGACGTACAATCCTTTCGTGTTTTAAATATCAACTCGAACCACTACCTTTTCGCAGCGAAGATTGAATTACAACAGCATTAACCATTTAGACATTATATTCGCAATTATATATTAGATTCTTAATTCACATCCCTTACAATTAATCTAAATGCTGTAATAGAGAAAACCATACCAAAAATCTTCGTGTTCATAGCAATAGTAATTGGAAAAATTACTAATAAAGTTGCAGTCCTATAAGGATCTGCGTGTCCATAATGTGGACGATTTGCAATGTGCTAATGGAGTGTCATTGCTTTTTGCCATTTAGGAGTTATGCTAAACTTATGATCCTGTTTGTTCAGATTTTTAGCGCTTTACAATATATAGTAATATAGTATTGTGGGACGAGAAGAGTTAAAAAGTACGGAGTCATCGAGTTCAGATTTTTTACGGCTTACAATACAAATCTCATGTGAAACGAGAAGAGTAGAAAAGTATTAAACGAGCGCTGCCATATAAAAAAAACACACCATAGTATCAGGTATCAAAGCACCAAGATGCCGCTATAATATTGTAAAATATATATCATAGAATTGTCACATTTAATATTTTCGCATATATTATATACTAACTATTTTATTTCATTAGAAAAAAATTTAAGCACCTCTACATAGAGTATCCATATAAGTACATTCAGCTGATTCAAAATTTTTAATATACACTTTTTCTTGAGAGTTTATAATGAAACCGGAAGTAATGAAATTATACTCTAAAAAAGATTTCCCAAAGGTGTTTGTAAATATTCCAAATTAAAAATAGTTTATTCTAAAACTGCTAAGTTTAGAATTTTTTCACAAAGTATTCAATATGGAATTAATGTACGTAATGTATATATTGTGACGAACAATTTTTTATTACCTAATTTATTTTTCCTATAAATCTGATAGCACAACACTCTCCATACTTAGACTCCAAGTAATCCTATAAGGCGCTAAATACGTTCATTGCGTTTTAGCGTTTATGCGCTAAACATTATTTTTAATTTTGCTTTCTAACTGCGTACAATGGGAAAAAAGAAATGCCTTTGCCTTATAGATATTAAAAAAATGTTTTGAATACTGACATGAATAGTACGGCATTATCAAGATATTAAACAAGAATTATTTATTTTGTGTATATTTATCTTAATTTGGGTACTATAATTATGTGACACGTTATCACCAAAACTTTGAACCATACCAGCAAATATTACTAAAATAATAATAATTAGGTGGAACAATGATGAGGTTAAAGTTCATTAATTTATTTGCTTGCTTGCGTTATATCCATTACGCATTGTTACTAAATAGTCTCATCAATATAAACGCATTTCATTTTAAATGAAGAAACGCAATAACGCATTTGACGCAAGAAACTTCAATCATCATTTCGCCTTAGCATTATTAATGTATATAAAGACGTTTAACATAGTATAGTTTAATTATCAACACTAGTCAGTGATTTATTTCTATATATATTACGGTCCGCCTCCACCAGGAAGGTAAGGTACTATTTAGTACAAACTCGAAACAACCAACTCCTCAATAAGTTTTTTATTTCTCGAAGAGTCAAGGAATATACTATTTAACCTTACCATTAAGATTTCGAAATATATTGTATCTTTTTCGTAAATTTCATAGATATTATAAGTGACATTATTTACTTTTTATTTATTTAAAATATAAAGATTCGATTTACAGTAATTTAATATAAAATAGTAGATGGTTCACGTACTTAGACCTTTTTTAATTTATATTATAGTGATATTATTAATTTTCTTATTAATGGTGGAATATCGATAAAAAAAATTCTTAAAGAAATAAAAATAAAAAAAAACACGGACGGACTATGAATTAATTAAAAAATTCGAATATTTCCTAAGACTACTGCAAATGAATCAAAAAATTAACTTAATTTTTGTTATTATCTCTTAATTTTTATTCGAACTTTTCTAATTTTTAAATTAGTTCTAATTAAAAAATTCCAATATTTCCTATGACCACTGCATATGAGTATACTCGAAACAGCGTTGTATGGTCAGCGAAATTTCAATAAATTAACTTAATTTCTGTTATTGTCTCTTAATTTCTATTCGAAATTTTCTGATTTTTAAATAGTTTCTTTTCGTTCTAATTAAAAAATTTGAATATTTCCTAAGACCACTGCATATAAGGGCTTGACAATACTCGAAACAGCGTTGTACGGTCAGTGAAATTTGAAAAAATTAACTTAATATTTGTTATTGTCTCTTAATTTCTATTCGAACTTTTCTGATTTTTAAATAATTTCTTTTCGTCATGAAGATAATATAAATAATATAAGTCTATACTCAGAACAACCCAGTAATTATAAGAATTGAATTTTTTGAGCCGATAGCCAAAATAGATGCTACTCTTCTTTTTTAATTGGTATATATAATTTTATAGAATAGAATGAAATTATTCAATAATATGAGTTATTATTTTTCTGAATTAACTGAATTAAGTTGAAAATTGTTTGATTATAAGTAATTAATTTGTTCGCTTTGTTATTATTATTATTTTGTTTGGGGAATTTGCACTGCGACCTATAGTTTTATTGTGCTCCATTCATGGACTAAGAGATTTTCTCCAAGTCCAACTTTTACTATAAACTGTAGCATTAAATCAACATTACAAAGTTTTATTGCTTTCCTTTCTCAGTATTTATACACCTTAATAACTCTCAAAATTAGTAATCTAATCACTTCGCTTTTTCCTGAAAATAAGGAAAGAAAGAATATTATCAAAAGCCAAGCCAGAAATCACAAAAAACGTATGTTATATCATCCCAACCATTTTATTAGTAGAATTATAGCAGAAGGAAGAACGTTCACACACCTCCGCAAACAAACGCCATTGGAACTTTAATCTATGACCGACTTCAACAGACGGATTTGCTACTGAGCACAGTCCTTTCAAGCCCACAAAAATTTTAAGTACTATTTAGTCACTTACGCTTAAATAATGTTTATTGTATATTCTGAATTGACAGATCGCAATGTAAGAAAATAATAATAATATCTACTGTACATTTGCCAAACTTAGGCACTTAAATAAAAAGAAGAAACTCACCTTTGTCACTCCAGCAAGATGAGTCAATGATAAGCAGGTGTTTTGTGTTAAAGAATCCAAACTTCTCCAACACAAGATCAAATCATAAATTTCAAATCCCGTGTACAGAAAAGTGACAAAAATAGTCATCAACGTTCCATAGCACAGTAAAATGATTTTTAGTCCCAATGGTTCATGTTTCAAGCCCAGAAGAGGTATTCCAGCTATCTGTGCCAACCAAATATTTAAGTCAATAGAACCAATATATCCTTTAGCAGGATCTGAAGGAAATATATATGCAGATAATTTTTCAAGTCGATTCATTTTCGTATATAAAAAAGTATAAACATTATTGAAATGGACATAATAAGTACAGCTCTTTTATAATAAAATTTTAACAGCTCAAATATATAGTTCAACCCTTGTAGTCACAACACACCTCCGCCAGTAAATTGGTATTTAAATATTAAAATAAATTATACCTTGTAACTAATTTAAAGGCGTTAATGTGAGAATTAATGTCACGTTTAACAACAAATTGCAGCTCTAAAATTATTACATGAAGACTGCATCGCATGACAATGGACACTTTACCAGTCATTTTGTTTTAATGAATTCGTAAGCATGAAACATATTCACACATATCATTTTGTTTGGACTATTATTATAATTATTAAAATGTACATTTATACAAATTAGATTATTTAATTTAGACGTTTTTCGAGTGTCATAACAATTGCACTTGATTGGTGAAAAATTTTCACATAAGAAACTAAAAGTTAAGAAATAAATATAAGGTTGTTCGGAAAGTAATGTCATTTCATTTCTTTTCATGAAAATGTAAGATTATTTTTTTATAGTGAATAAATATTTTATTGAATAATATATTCTTCATGCTGTTCCAATATCTGTTGCAATCTCTCTGGCAGCAATATGATTCCATGCTAACAAAAAACTGATTCCGATGATTTTTGACCTCCCCATTTGAAGCAAAGGTTTGGCTTGATTTACATATAAGACTACATATACAATCTATTAGTCAAGACGTATGTACTACCTTGACTACTAGTCAAGACACATCTTGACTGGTAGGATTGAGTTAGGATAGTAATACGTCCTAACATTAATTAATGCTAACCACGGCGGTAACCCAGTATAACAGTTAACAGTGTTTTGTCTTCTGACAAAACACCAAGATTAGCACGAGTAGTGTCGGCCGACAGCAACATTTCAGGCAAGTGAAAACAACAATCGGAACAATCATCGAAGCATAATTATTCCAAATAATCGTAGTCTCAAATTAGCAAACCAGCATTATATTATAATTATATTAGATTGTAAAACCTTATTTTATTTTAAATTCTTCTACATAAATAATTGAATCACTACATCACATTGTCTTTGACTTCCAAAAATATAAATTACATTGCAACGACCCCTCGACAACGGCTATGGTAAGTATACCTCAGCGACATCAGCGGCAAAAAATGTGTTGTTACAACCTCTAAAACATTTCATAGCGACCGAAAATAAATAATGATCGTAAGTTGGGTGTGAAAGGATATTCTAAGATGGGTGTGAAGTATATTCTAAATATATTTTTTAGTGAAACAACATACTTGTATAACATCTCCCATTACCTTTAATATTTTCACGTTTTAATCATAAATCATTATCATTATCTTCAATGCCTTACCGACCTATTTAAAAGTTGTTTTTACCATTTATAAACTCATGGTGATGACATATTATCCCCGGCAAAAAATCTTCTTTAACATCTTAGTCACTCCGGTACACTTTATATAGAAACATATGGACGTTGGTCCCATATTGTTTTTACTCTTAAATTGCTAAAAATACGCTCTCACAAGCAACAACACCAACGTCAGACCAGCCTTAATTATGAGTATTTAACAATGCTTGATACTTTTCTTACTCTTAGTTATCTTCAAAAGATAAGAACACGAAAACAATACTAAATGTGATTAGAATGTGATGTATAAAATAAAGAAAGTAGTCGTGTGTATGACGTGCTGGTGAACGACATTTTACATATCCGTTTACGTTTGCTGGGATATTAAATTCTGCAATTGTGACGTAAAAATCACTTCTAGTCGTAGTATCAAAAGTAGTCTTTATATCAACAAATGAATGGTGTAAGTCAGTTTGTTTTTCTTGCATATCTTCTCTTGAATTTGGCGCCTGAAGACAAACTGATAAGGTCCAATTAGTCGCTCGACGATTGCCTTCAACCTTTCACATTGTACATTTTGCAGAACTGCATAATGTTTAAAAAACTAATCTTGCAGTATCTTCTTTTTTGTGAAATCGACAAAGCAGACTTAAATTCAAACCATTGGGCATACATTCATCTAACCATATTTAATCTATCCAATGGCTTTGAACAGATCAGGTACAACATCGGCGCCTACTCCTTTGTTATTTTTGAGCTGAGCTATAGCAGTTTTAATTTCATCATAGGTAATGATTTTTCAATTGGTTTTTGTAATTAATAAATAATATTAAAAGTAAAATATAATGAAATCATTTTCCTCAAACTAAACAGAATTTAATACAAATTAGTCACTGGTTTTTTTTGACAGGATACGGTCCAGTTTACAACCTTTTTGCAGTGATGGGATTAATTTAAAACCCTAATCAACTCATAATTAATCGAATCCAACTCTAGAATTTCCGGTTAAGAAGGATTATAAAATATATATGTATATATATTTCAATATAATTTTATTAATGAAATCAAATTTTTTATTAGTTTTTTCGACGAATGACGAAAATGAAAATCTTCATTTAAAGCAAAAACTCCTTTTTTTTATCATAATATGACGTAATTGAAAAAAGATTATGAACAAATTTGACGTATATTTGATAAAAAAATATTTAACTAAATTTTCCTTTTATGGAAACATTCGATCGACGCTTGCATTTTTAGTTTCTAAAATTTACATTTAAAAAAAATTACTCCCCCTAATTAGAAGCTTGAACATCGTTAGATTAGAATTTTATTTCAGACAAAGATACAAATATTATTCTAATATTATCTTAAATAAATTTTACTATTTATTTCTAGTTTTATTGATGTAACAGTTCCACGTTATATTACATATATATAAATATTATATTTGCTAACAAAACATCACATCCTAAGGCAAACAAATAAATAGCATGATAGACTTTCTCATGGATTCTATTGCTTGATATAAAGTTTTTATAGCATGTTATCTATTAACATACTTGCATGCCTTGTTAGCTTTATTTTGTGTTGTTTGAATTCTGAACTAATAGTTTCTATGACAAGACTTAAAATAAATTATTGTTGGACTATCAGCAAGTGGGAAGACTACTACCAAATATTCATTTTATTTCGTTTTCACATTGCTGAAAGTACAACCAAAGTACAACCAATATCTGCCAATAATACCTTTCATTAATAGATTCATTGTTGTAACTCTGCCATCTATTAACCAGTAGCACATAAACGGGAGTCTGCTACAAATTATTGCCACATTTTATTAATAAACATAGTTCACAAGCGTTTATTACAAAGAGTTTGACAGCTATAGAGGTATGAATTTATAAAAATTTTGAAAGTTTTGTATATTACTGCAAACTTAATTTTTTAAACTTTATAATAATAAAATTATTAGTGATTTTAAGAAAAGATATAAAATAAATATAACTATCCAAATGGTATCATATGATTATACAAAAAATGGAATTATAGAGGCAATATATAGTTGACATAATAATTTACTTAAAATAGTAGGCACTGTTTTCTAAAAGTGGAATGAATCAAGAAAGTCACAATGTAAAACCTCTTAAAAATGCAAAATGGACAAATTTAATGGCAATAAGTTTAGTGTTAAGCATGATATAGACGATGAAATTTGTTTGCAAACAAGGTTTGCTGGCTATCAAATTGCATCGTCTATACTCAAGTTTGCAAACCAAAATTTGGTTTGCAAACTAGTTTGCAGTGAAATTAAAATTTTTCAATTATTTGTTAAGTTTGCAAACATGTTTACTTGTGTATATCGAAGTTTGCAAACTTCTCATAATTTAAGAATTTTGGTGAGCGTCGGACAAACAAAGATTACAGAAAAAAATTATTAATTCTTGGTAAAAAGAAAAATAAATGAAAAATAATTAAAAAATTGCTAGACATTAGACAATTATTGAAGAAGTTTATATATTTTAAAAATTATTTTGTGCTAAAAACATTTTTATAGTAAGCTTTAATATTTAAACAATTATTATATGAATAAAAATTTTAAAATGTAACATATTAAAAAATTGAAACAAAAATAATTTTAGTTTAAAAAATGAAATAAATAACAGGTTGCTATGATCATCACCTCAATTTCTTCAGTTTCAATTATTGTTTTGCACTCTGTACTTACTCCGCTGTTGATATGAACGCTGTAGAAAATAAATAAAAATGAAGTTTGCCAACCTTGTTTCAAAGTGTATAGCAAAGCGCATATTCGGTTTGCAAATTTGGTTTGCAAACAAATTTCATCGTCTATATCATGCTTTACAATAAATCTGCAATTACAATTGTAAGGTATTTATTGCTATTTGTATTGCAGTTAAAGCCATTTATTGGAAAATATCCCATTAAATTCAATTAATGGGGAGTTGAATATTCATTTATAATGCATTATATTTCAATATTTGTAATGTATGTAGAATTTTATTTCTACTATTGATATATATCTTTATAATATATTTTTTTAAACATCACAAATTTAATTTAAATTTTATGCAACACTTTGAAAAATAAAAATATTTTATTAAGTACCCAAAAACTTATCAGACATAATTCTTTAATTCTTACTTTTTAAAAATTTCTTTGATTTTTAAAATTAACTTCAAATTTTGTTCTTTACTTAACAATAGTCCTTTTCGGTGGCTCGCTAGTATGGCATCACTGTTGCAATCAGTGCGAACCACCGAAAATACCTATTGTACATAACGCAACAAAAATATATGTCAAAAAAAAGCATTTAACATATTTTAAAGGTGATGCCAATTTGTTTTAACCAGACTTAATATTGTTTTTACAAACCCAAAAAAAAAATTATGACTATTATATATTATTAGGGGTATTCAGGCAACAGATTAGTTGCTTAGTAGATTATTACAACAAATATTTGCATACAAAAAAGAAACTAAACAGAGAATGTACTCTTTCGGAGTTTCTCAGATTAGGGAAAATTTGATTAATAGTGCTGCCAGTACCAAGTGTCGGCGCTATGAGCTTAGGGTGTCTCAAAAAGGAAATTCAAAAATAATAACATAAATTAATAAATAAAATTAAGTAAAACTATAATTTTTAAAGGAATAAAATATAATTAAAAAGTATAAAATTGAATATTCCAATTCTTGATATATGACACGTTTGCAATTTTAGTTATATGATAAATTATATGATATGATAAGATAACTTATATAATAAATTTATATATTATTAAAATTTACGAATATTTGAGTATTTCACTGTTAACATACGTTTCGCTTTTGCTGTTGATACGAGTGCTGCCAAGGCATTTGCACACAACAAACTAATCAGATTACGCATTTTGGGTCGTTCAAGCAACAGATTAACATCAAAATGCTAAATTTTTTTTATATGAAGTTCTTTAGTCTACTAGGTAACTAATCTATTGTATAGTATATAGCAGGCAAATTACATTGTGTATAAAAATAAACAACATATATTAAAAATTAAATTGAATACAAATTTAAAAGGAATGGTAAATATGTTGAAAATTTCAAAATGAAAACCTGAAATTTTTCTTTTTTTCCAATTTTCAAATTTATGAAATTTTTGAATTTCGTTTGAATTTTTATTTACATAGAATTTTTAACACATGATTGCAATATTCGTTGGAGTTCCCAATGAAAGTTCACAATAATTCGCTTATTACATTGGCAACGCTTGTTTTTCTGCTAGCCGATGTAGGTAGGTAGATAGGTAGGGAAAATAGTGTTGTTGCTTTGCGTACATTTCGACCAGTATAAGCGAGTAATTTGCTGTTTTTTGTCATACTTGCGAGCAACCGAAAAAGCCTAATTATATTATAAATTGTTATTACAGTGTTCATAATAAATTAAACAATTTTTCGAAATTTTATTAAACGCCCTGTGCTACTGTAATTTCAATTCACATTATTGTAATAAGATATGCTTTGTGTGGATGTCACAACAAGCTACATCCATACAATAACATATGCAGCAGACAGAAAAATGATAAACGTCAAACAGTAGAGAACGCTTGCCGTGAGTGGTGCATTCGTGGAGTTTTGTCGGATGAGAATTTAGCATTTTAATTAATAGTTTAAGTTTTTCTTAGTGCCCAGTGCTAATTAAATTTTAATTAATTTCCATCATTTAAATCGATTACCTAATAAACATAATTTACACTTAATAATTAAATTAACCGGCCATTTTTTATTTGGAACTGGTACTACTGATTGAAGACTATACGACTTCTGTGTTGCGGAGGCGTTATTATCGTGCTAAAAATTAAACTTGTTAGTTTAGATAAAGAAATTTTTACAAATACTCTGTGATTATATATATTTACACAAAATACAATAGCAAGAATTGCAATTGCATACGAAACAATCCATAAAGTGCACTTAGCAACGGATTGAATAAAAGTAAAGAATTTCGTTTATTTTGTTTTGTACGCGGAGTTCAAGTGTCTACGGCTAAAGCAAAGTTAAATTAGTGTAGCGGAGGCTTATTCAAGTGTCGCATAATCTATACTACATATGGAACAAAAACGCCATAGCGCCATAACGTTCAACAACGCCGCATTCATCGTATGCTTATTTTTATCTTTATAATTTTACGTGTTCAACGTGTGCATAAATTCTGTGTAATTAATCTTAAGCCAGCAGCACAAAGTGCATAAACTGTTTGGTCCCCTTATGCTCAACACAATCTACTACGTATTTAGTGTTTACTTGCTCATCAAATCCCTCTAAAAGTGTCAATGCCTCTGCCGCCTAAGATCGTAAACTACCCGCATCTTCTGTATTGTCTTCCACAGCCTGCGTAAAATTAATCTTCAATTGAACAGAAACCATAACGAAAATATTCTTTCACGAATTCCCGTCGCGATAGCTTCAGTTAAAACGTCAACAGCATCATTTGTTCGATTGTCAAAATTTTTGTGATTACAAATTGCGTCCAAACGAACTAAAATATATAATTCGATTCCATTGTTTATAACTTAAATAAGATAAATTATTGTGCTTTCTATTTCGAATGTGCTAGACAATCAATTTTAAGGTAAGCAAAAATAAATTTGTTTGAAATTATAACCTGTTGAGGGAACCGGTCTTCAAAAGGGATTCATATAGTTATTTTTTTTTCTGTTATTGCATATAAGTAAAATTTTAATTACACTCTTTAAAAACTAAAAAAATTATCTATATAATTTATTTTTCATTTACTTTTTGAATACATATATTATAAATATGTTTAATCTGATTTATTTAATAACATTTGATGAGGTAATTTTATATATCTTCTATGTTATCAAAACTTTTTGCATGAATTTATTAGTTTATCAGATAGTGTTATCAATAATATCAGCAGATTCCTATTAACATTCACATTATCGCAAATAAAACGGAAACTAGACATTTCAGAATGGGAAAGCCGAATGATTACAATTCTTGTACATATTCATATTTAATGTTTGAAATCTACATACATACGACTATATCTTAAACTACTTTATACATACTTTATACATATATTTGTAATATTTACCAAGTAAATTTGTTTTAAAGGCTTAAAGATAATGGATTTTGTTTATACGAGGGCTGCCATTTAAGTTTTGCGCCTAACAATGAAAGCACAGTGGTTAAGAAATGAAAATATTTTTATTGTTTTTCGAACTGTTCAACATAATGATCAATACATTTTGGCATTCGATTAAACCATTTTTCGAAACTGTTTTGCCACTCTGAAATTGGTATCTCCAAAACTAGAGGTTTGAATGCCTCAACGTTCTGTTAGGGCGTAGAAAAAACTGCATTATTTTTTAATATTTTTTAACAAGAACAAGTCATTTGGTGTCAAGTGTGAATAACTCATCAGTTTTGAGTGCTCAGAAACTTTTGTTTGAGCTAATGTATATGCGCTCGCGTTGTCGTGGTGGAGTCCAGCAAATAAATAGTTGTTCAAGCGGTACAGTTGGCACCATAATCGAGTTTTTTGAAAAAACATGCGATCATTAGCTTGAAGTTACTCTGTCCGCGGACGACTTTTGACGGGTTCTGCTCACTTTAGAAGACCCAAACAGTGAATTGTTGTTTTGTTACGGGCTCTTAGGCGTAGATCCATAATTCGTCACTTGTCACGATGTTGTAGGTATGTTTTGAACTACCTCGGGCATATTTTTTTAGCATTTCCTTGCATCACCAAACATGTGCTTTCTTTTAAGCGATTGTTATATTATGGAAAATCCAACAGGAACAAATCTTTCTGACAACTAAATATATATGTAACATTGAATGTATGCTGGTCTCACTAATGTGCAAGGACATCTCTATCTCCCGGCATCCGATCCATCTCAATCATTTCTCACACTGTATCAATGTTTTCTAGTACAACAGCCGTTCTTAGACGACCTTCACGAAATTCGTTGTGAAAAAAACGGACTATCACACTTGAACTCATTTTACAGTCGCTGGAAGTAGTGTTTCATCACCAAAAGTCGAACTAAGTTGATCAATGCATTCTTTTCTGGTAAGCCCGCGTTGTAAATCATAAAAAATCGTTACACGCAAATGTTGATTATTTAATTTCATATTTTCGCAAAGACATAATTTAGAATCGATGTAGACAACAGAATAAGTGCTCGTAAACTCAAACATTGTAACGGCATTTATGCTAGAAAATAAAAAACTTTCGAACAGAAATATCAAATTTTAACTGGCAATAGTATTCCTTAGGCACGAGACTTAAAAGGAAGCCTACGAAAATTAAATTAAAAAAAATATTTTATATACCTTATATCTCATACCTGGTATGACGGTTTTTTTGTATAATATTATAAAGCATGACATTATTATTATTTTACACACCTATAAAATTAGAGGCATAACAAAGATTGTGGTTCTAAAGTACCAAAGTTATACGCGAATTACATTAGCAATAATTGGCAAAGATACATTCCAAATGTTCCCATGTTTTTTTCTAATTACTTAAATCCAACTTGCGTTCTAACAACAAAAACAGTAGCCCAGAACTCTTGGTGTTTGTACCACGGTAATCACATTATTTCTTCGAGATCATTTCGAACGATATAAGTTCATCTCGTATATATCATTATGATGTCATAAATATTTTTTCAATGTTTAGAATATACAATCAATGGCTCATATCTTAAAAATTTCAACACACCCTAACTGAAGAAAATATATGTTATCCATATGCATGTCTCCTTAATTGAAGTCTCATCTTAATCTATAAATATTGAAAATTTATAACACCTATTGTTATAAATTTCAGGATTACCAGAATAGTTTTTATACTGTCTATTAAAAGTACATGTTAATATGCACTTTAAATAGTGCACAGTGAAATAGACCAATCATATTTGATTCTCTACATCAATTTTAATAAGATCCTACTCTTTGATATTATTAGCATTATCTGCTTTAAACTAAAATTACTGTCCCTCTCTCTGTCGAAATTGTTCTTCCATATAATAAAACATGATTTTATTCATTTGTGATACAAATATACTAAATATATTTATTCGCGGAACTGCACCGAAAAAAACCGGTTTTTCATTTGGTGAATTATGTAGAGGACTTTTTCTAAAAAAAAAAAAAACAATTTTGTTGTGGAATTTTATGTTTATTTAAATATTCTTTCTTTAAGATTCGTCTCTTGTTCTCTTGACACGGTTAGGATAGGTTGGAAAGGCGGGTTATTATTTAAATGTTTGACACTCTGAGACATTTTTTGGCAATTGTGATACGTTCAAAATCGTCAGTTGCTTAACGAAGGCGTATTGCCAATAATGTTAACTGCACATATTGTTGTTGGCTGAAAGTAGCTAGGCTAACCGTTGTTTCCAGGCAGACAAAATTCCTGTACAAAATTCCTGTTAAAAGATTTGTGTTTTAAAATAAAGTTAAAGAGATTTGATAGGTCTACCTCCGTTATCTCTACTAGGCCATTTAAGAAATGGTCTACTTGTCATTAAATTCGCTTTGTCTATAATTCTGAATAAAAACATTGAATGTAATTGATGGATTCCATCTTTTTCTCATCATGGCAGCTCTTGCACAATTCGTTTGTTGGAATTTGGTTGATAATGTATAAACACTCTATTTAATATCAATTTTGTCTATGCATATTGTTGATATATGTATATTAACAGACTTAGTTTTTTTTAAATAAACTATCATTTTTGGTAAATCCATTACATCTATTTTTGCCCTGCCTAACTCTGTACTTAATTACTCAGTATATCTTGCAATATTTATTGCAATATTATAGAAAGATTAAAAATAATTGCCTAAATATTATTATTTTAAATGAATATTTACCATGTATAACATAAAATAAATTTGTTTTACTATAAATAAAGCCATAAATTTAAGTGCCCTTAATATCTGATTAAAATAACGTTATTTTATCTGTCTTATTTTGTTCGTATTGCTAAAAGCATTCAAAATATTTAATGCATTGCATTGGTAGACATCTGTAGATTGGCATACAGTTACATAGATACTTACAGAGCACAAGTAAACTTAGATATATGTACTTGATGCAATGAAATAACAGAATTGCATGTGTAATAAGTATAAAAATAGAATAGTACTCGTACAAGTCAAATGTAAATGCACCCCAAACAACACCGATACTCGTACAGAAACCAAAACCAAACATTCGAAGAACGAAGAACCAATAACCTAGCAACCAGAACAAATGACGACAAAAAACAACATACGCGACGCGACACACGCATGTACAGATACCGTAAAACCTCACAAATGCAGGTCGGTGAGTAAGCCCGCAAGCCCGCAGGCCTACAAGCCGCCAAGCAAGTAACTTACTAAGCGACTCGATTCTCGTACAAAGTAGGCGAAGCCGTAATTAATGCAACTGTGCGAATTGATGCGTCCCTGGCACGACAGGAAAATCAATTGATAAATTGCAAAAGGAAAAAAAACAAACTTAGGTGAATAAATCGTGGAACTTAATGTGTTTAGCTACACACTATAATGTGCGAACTAAGGGCAACCTATATGCTTTCACAATCACACACAATCTTTCCGTTCCAACTTGCGTTTTCTATGACATTTCATTAATGTGGCAATCCAATGTTCGCGTTTATTTATGCGGAGTTAGCTGGAGAAGTCATGTTGTCAGATAGTAGCACAAAAAAATAGGAACTGTATTTTCTTAAACTTTCAACAAAAAACGTACTATGTATTTTCCTTGATTTATCGTAAATTGAATCGGTTTCCTCTAACATATTCGCTCCAGTTTTGCAATTTATTAATGTTTTCAAAATAAAATTTGTACACACAAAGTTTTGTATGCGAAATCGTATATAGTATATCTGCCTGTAACACTTCGAAAAGGTAACAAAAAGCACAGTCCGTCGAAATAAAAATATAACTTTGGGGTTGAAATTCACATACCATCCCCAATTTTCGCCTACTAAAAAAAAGGCAGTCAGTCCTCGTATCCCCAACACTACTTGTTTAAAATAAATAAATGTTTTGAGGTAATATTTGCTTGGAAGAAGAAATAGGGTCGTCATATTTTCCACTTCACTCAACTGTTAAACCTTGCAAATGTCAGTCAACACAAATTGAAACCTTAAAATGGATTCAAAACTAAATTACGAGAAATATTAAATAAAAAAGTAATGGCAAAAGCTTAACAATTACGAATTAAGCTCATCAAATTGACACTGATTAAGGAAAAGTCTTTCTAATTTAGAAACTTAATTCTCCATTGTTTCATTTTACAACAAGAAACCTAAAACCACAAAAAACAAAAACGAGATAAAACACTACATAAAATCCGCTAGAGTATCTTAGTATCTTTTTTCAACCTTCATGACTTTCTTTTCGTACTCGTAGCTTTTAATTTCTCATTTCATTAAAATTTTCTACTGCAATTAAATGCTGTTTCTTATTGTTTTTTATATATTTCCTTTTTTTTTTCTTTTTTTTTTTTAACAATATTACAATAATTAAATTTTACTTTTCATACAAAAAATGTAAAAAGTTTCGACCTGAAAACAAAGAGTG